GTGGCTACATTACTAGTAGCTACAAATATAATAATAGAAAATAACATTTTTATAATTATATTAATTAATCATCTAATAATTGTACATAGTAATATTAATTATAATGTACGATATTTAAATATTTTACTTGTATATATGAATTAAATTAATCATCTAATAATTATTATTATTCTAAATAAAATCTTAAATATAAATTAGAAGTATATATCGGAAATTATATATTATTAGTACATATAATTTATTATAATTATATAAATCTACATATATTTAATTTAAATATATTTTAATTACTTAATCATCTAATAATTGTATATAATGTTCATCATTATCTATGATATTTATATGTCTTACTTGTATATATGAATTAAATTAATCATCTAATAATTATTATTATTCTAAATAAAATCTTAAATATAAATTAGAAGTATATATCGGAAATTATATATTATTAGTACATATAATTTATTATAATTATATAAATCTACATATATTTAATTTAAATATATTTTAATGATTTAATCATCTAATAATTGTATATAATGTTCATCATTATCTATGATATTTATATGTTTTACTTGTATATATGAACTAAATTAATCATCTAATAATTATTATTAATCTAAATAAAATCTTAAATATAAATTAGAAGTATATATCGGAAATGATATATTATTAGTACATATAATTTATTATAATTATATAAATTTAAATATATTTAATTTAATCATCTAATAATTGTATATAATGTTCATCATTATCTATGATATTTATGTTTTACTTGTATATATGAACTACATTAATCATCTAATAATTATTATTATTCTAAATGACCTCCGGCCCAGAAACCATTGTTTTTATCAAAAGAAAGAGACACAATTATTCCACAATGTAAGAGACCTTTCGATACGGACCCTGAAACGCTGAACTGACAGGAATACAACAAACACGTGACTATGACAGAATTGTGTGCATTGATGTTTATCCAATTTTCCTGAAATTTGAGATTGATCTGCATATGCAAACTTTTATTCTTCATCCAAGCTGTCCGATTCTATAGCCGTACAGAAATGCATGCAAGTTTCCATATGCAAAAAAAATCTCCAACTACTGCAAAATCATTTGAGTTTGACATCTTTTGATTAGTTACCTTTGCATTTGCCAAGTTCAGTAGCTTTAAAAAAAGATTATTTGTGTTGTTTTAGTCTCTTTTTAAAGCTCCTGGACTTAAGCTTCACGTCAGGTGTTTAACTCAGATTAATAGGTCTATGAGAGCTTGGAGAGCTTTTCAAACGCTGTTTTCTCTCTTGTGATGACAGGTGTAACTGAGAATACAGTGATACTCGCCACAGGGGAATGTGCATCTCAAACAGAGAGCTGAAACCACAACATGTCAAACATCACGCCTGCTTCACCAGTCATCATGGGTCGCTGTCAGCCAATCAGCAAACAATAACCGACTGAATCTGACAAAAATCATCCAGCTGTGGATTTGAAGTACAAGTCAGACCAGAGAATGATTTTCCTTCATCAACTCACAGAGACTTTGATCCGCACGCAGACGTGCTGCAAACAGCTTCTCTTACGTGACATTTCATCCAGAGGTTTCTCAGAGGACAGATGTTGATGTTCTATGGTTGTCCTGATACTTTAAGCATGTTTTATGGTACTACGGATAAAGTATAATGATAACCTGAATTTTTTTAATTTTATAATGTGTTTGTCTTGTATACCTGTTTGTTTTCATACTGTATGTAAAAAACAAAACATAAAAACGGCTTTATTTTCTACGTGACATTTCTACGTCACAGTTATGTATATTTCATTGTGCCATGTTTCTCAATAAAAATATATATAAAAAAAAAAGTATAATGATAAGTAGTATTATGATGACTCGTATCTTTCGCTCTTTATAGGGAAAGTATGTTTGGTATTCTGTTGTCCTAATAATAATAATAAATAGTATAATTTTAAATATATTGTGTGTATATAGTAATATACAAAGTAATATAATGTTAATATAATATTACATTATGAATAATGAAGGCAATATATTGTTTTAAAAATAATATACAATATATAGGGTTGTATAATTTTTATCCTTTCATGCATGATTATTATTAATGCAACGATATCATAAATAAATTATTATGCATGTTTTAAAAGTGATGAAATATAATAATAGTGCATGGAAAAATATGTTTTTAAATATACAATACAATATCTTTCATGCATTATATTTATTAATATGAAAACAAATAAAATAATGAAATTCATGAAAGTGAAAAAATGTCATAATGCATGAAAAATATTGTTAAAAATATTATATAATAAATAGTGTTGTATAAGTTTTATACAATAACTCATGCATAAATAATTAAATGTGCAGAATGCATGAGTAAAAGCAAATATTTCCAATGGCTCCTTAATCTATAACAATTACTAGGCTTTATTTTCTTTAGGCAAAACATAAATTGATTTTGTGATGAAATTTGACGATGACATGTTCTTGACAGGTTTCGTGAGATTCACCATATTTTCATGTCCTCTTTATTTTCCAGTGCCAGTCTGGCATTACAGAGGATATACAGGTAAACAGGCCGCAGTCTCCATCGCTTCCCCGTGATAGATTGCGGCTGTTAGTGTTTTCGTGTGTGTTTGTGCATGCCGACCGAATCAATCAGCATCATTCTTAACAACACACATAAGAACTGTCCAGAATAAATGACCAATGGTTCCCAGCTGTGCCCATCCGAGTCTCTGTCTTGAAGATTCAAAAACGAAACAGAAAACAGCAGACGAAAGCCATCAGGTCATGCTACTTCAACATGCAAGCTGCAACATCTTAGTGTTGCTGAAAGCTGCGTAATTAATTGAATCTGTCTGCAACACTTTGAGACACAAGCGGCTCTCGGATTACTCTTGATCTTAGTGCAAGACCAGCGTCTGTTATCACTCCACGAGACACAGAGGAGACCACAGCAACTGAAAAACTAGGGCAAGATTTGTGAAGAATTTCCTGTCGTGTGTATATTATCACCAAAAAACAACATCCTCCATTATTAGCATCCTCTCTCACTGGCTACAACTGCCCGTTGCAGATAAAATTCTTGGCTTGGGATATTAGAGACTCAAACAGGCCGAGAAAACACTCTGGGGAAACTTGCATTTATTCAAAAGGAAATGCTGTCAAAATCATTATAACTACACTTTATATTATCTAAAATGCAGTGCTTGCACATGCAAGAACTACTAATAACCGACTGTGGAAGAATGCTTCATGTCCTCTTATTCACATGAGATCTATCTAAACAGCTTGTTTTTATTAAAGTTTGCCGAATTTCAACCCGGTTTGTGTAGATACAAGTCTTTCTCTGTGTTACCAGGACTGAAAAAATTCCCGTTTATTTGTCAGCAAAAGTTTGTCGGATGGCGCAACACACATAATTCGGCAGACTTTTGACAGTTCAATGGCTTTCATGAAAACTACAGATAGTACTTCCGCTTTTTTCTATTCTAAAGCTAAAAATAACTCGCTCCTGCTAAATGTTTACTCTTTATTAGGGCTGGGTATTGACACAAATTTCACAATTCGATTCGATTTCGATTCACAAGCTTGCAATTCGATTCGATTCCGATTCGATTCGATTCAATATTGATTATTTTGGATATCAGGTGCAATACATGGCAAATTTTCTCAAGGAAAACAAATCTCTTAACTAATGCTGTAAACTATGGGAGTCAGTTGTAGCCTACTAGGCTTCATTAGCCTATAATAATATTGAAGGTAAAAATTAACTGATTTGTAGCTATGCAAACACTAAAATTACACTTTTATTTATTTTTATAATAATAAAGTTATATGAAATATAAACATTTAAATGGTGGCTGTCATAAAAACTTGCCAGATTTATTCAAACATGCATTAAATATCGAAGAACATTAAAAATTATAATGAATATGTAATATGGTCCAAATATTTAGCAAAATGCTCCTCTTTAGAGTTAATTTTTCTAGCTGACTAACGAGTTTATGGTCACATGGTTTTTCTGAGGTAAATGTGACGTTACATGACATTGTTTACAAGTTGTTACTGACGTCTTTCCGCGGTTGAAACACTGATTGAGCGATTCCATGTGACATGATACGGATTTCGATAAGTTGTACTCTATCTTTTAACACACTTTCAGACGTTCATTCATGTTTATTTCGCGCTTTAACTGGTATTATTAAGGCGGAAGAGGAGATCATGTGCAGCGCTGCTGCTTCTCTTGAGCTGCGCCAGAGCGATCTCACGCCACAGCGCCAAAACGCTATTTATGTTTTTGAATTTCGTAAGAAAATGGACGTAATTTGACATTTGAGTATCAATAGTATCAATACATATTTAGTATCAATAGTAACAAAGCACAAAGATTATTGTGATTTATTGGATGGGATGCGCGCTACAATGTTCCATTCATTCATCAAATGAAAACAGGATGACTAATCGATTCTTGAGATTTAAGAATCGATATCGGTTCGTAAAAATGAGAATCGATGAATATCGAGAAATCGATATTTTTTACCCAGCCCTACTCTTTATATTCTCACACCCAGGAACACTACAAGTTGACACTATTGTAACCAAAAGTTTGCTAAGTAGTATTTTCTACTCAAGCAAGGCGGTATTTGACTCTGGTCAAGCCTATCCAATAGGAGCAGACTGGGCGTGGCCTTGGACGACAGCATGCCCAGTGCATTATGGGTGTTGTAGTTTTCCTACCTATTTAGCAAAACGGAAGAAAAGGGCATATTTTCTCTGTTTTCTCTAGTCAGGTAGCACAGATTAAAATATATATATATAATTTCACCTTTCTACCGCATATAGCCCATATTGCCAGTGGTGAATTACCCCTTTAATATCAGCGGACCCATATTTCATATTTTCTCAAATCTTCATGGGAATCTAAAAGAGATTAACAAACAAATCATGCAAGTTGTTCAGTCTGTTTTGGACTCACCGTACTGGCAGCTCGGACCACTGAAGCCGGCCGGACAGTCACAGAGTTGAGCAGAAGCTTCTCTACACTGACCTCCATTAAAGCACACGCCATAACTGCAAACAGCTGTAAGAGACGAGAGAAAGAGATGCTGAACACATGTCTTTACACATGACATGAAGCCTACGCATGACATTAGAACATGTGTTTCTGCTTTACTATTAGCCTGTTAACACCTGAAGAAAACACACACCTGAAGTGTACAAAGCTGAGATCATAACACCAAGCCCTTGCAAAGAAATAGACAGTACATCACGTCTGCCAGTAAATCTTAGATTAACTATCAGGGACAGTTTCAAACCCACATCACCAACACGAGTACATTAGAAAATAATTACTGTAATAAGTAAATTACTGATGTTTTTTTGTATTTTATGAAAGAAAATAAAAATTAAATAAAAAATATAATAAAATAAAATAAAAATTACAAATGTTGCTTTGGCAACTAAATAAAATAAAATTAAGTTGAAGTTTAAGCAAATAAAATAAAACTAATAAAAATAAATAAAACATACTAAAACTGACATAATTTTAATATTAAATCAATATAGAAATGTTTTTTTTTAAACTAATCAAAATTACAAAAATAAAAGCTAATACAAACTATTAATGATACTATAATAGTCTGTAAATAATACCAAAACAACACTAGTATATGAGCTAACATGTCAGCATTGATATGTAAACTTAGGTTGTCATATGAGGAAGTGAAAAATATATAGCAAATTGCAAACCCTTATATTTAATCTTATAGCAAGACCTGTCGACCAGTTGTTCAAAGTCATTGTCGACATGCATTCAAAACTACATGTCAAAACTGCATACAACATTTACAAACTAAAAATTGTGAAAAGGTGTTTTACTGAACCCAAAGCAAATAAAACAAGTCAGGATCAAACCAGAGCAGAATTAGCATTTCCATTGTGCATATCTAAATGTGAATAAAGTACAAACGCATAATATTACATAAAGCATGTGAGAGGAAGAGCATGGGGAATCCCAGCAGACAAATATGCATGTATTATTATATAAAATATATTACTGTGTTAAAACTCATGTTCATCAAGACAATCTTTGAAATCCTGAAACCTTGAAATCCTCATGGATAGACGAGCTGTTGTGAGAGATTATCTGAGCTTCACTCATCTTAAATGAACAACTGTACTAATTCAAGGACACATTCCCTTTCAAAACCTCAGCAGATCTGAAAGAAGACATCATGAAACAGCATTTCTACCTCTGGGATGGACAACTAATGGTCTTTGTAACAACAGGCATTGTTGGTCCTGTGGACAGACCACCCAGGACATTAGTTACGCACATTCCTGGTCCTTGTTCAGGACATTCCCGTCGACAGCAACAAAGACCTGCCTCCATTCACTCCTTATGGCCACTGTTACCTTAGTGGGTCAGTTTGTTTCAAATCACCTTGTCAGCATCAAAAGTCAAAATAACTGGCCACTTTCTGCTCCCAACTTTCCCGTTCAAACTCTGATTTTTGCTCCTTAATGAAAAGAAGAGGATTTTCAAGTGCACGTTTTGTTAAGGTGGAAGGAAGTCTCATGAAGCACGCTTCAAGCACCAAAGGCACTTCTACAAAAAAAGTCATTGAGTCAATTGGTATACTTGAGAAACAAAGAAGTAAACAGGGTTAGCGTACCCCAAAAGAGCCCAATTGTAAATAGCTTCAATATTAAGTTTTACAGACTAGAATGAGAAACAGAATTTCTTTGTTTTCCCGCTTCCTAAATAAATCCAAAGCAATTCTCCGAAAGCAGCCTTGATGTGTGTTAGTTTATGGGTTCCAGTTCTGCAAAGTGATGCAAATCTCAAAAAGCTTTTCCAAAGAAGTTTCATCTGGTGGGTTGCAGACAATCAGGGAAAAATATTGCAAAATGCTATTGCTAATTATAAAAAATGCATCTATAATTGTGCATAGTTTGGATAGCAAACGTATTTATCTTATTAACTTTTAATAGAGAGGAGAAATTACACCTATTTTGTTGTTGAAGCCAAAGGTGTCCAATCAAACGCTACAGTATTTTGGCACAAAGTTATTATCCCTTGGTAGAGGTTATTCAGACGCCGACATTGACAGGTTGCGTGACATGCACTCATCCACAAAACTATGCAGACTACTTTAAATACATGCTCGTTTGGAACAAGAATAAACAATATGGTTTGTATGCTGACCATAGTTTGTTTTATGCAGTGAATTATCGGCTCCCAAGAGCATCAAACCATCAAAATTCAACTGACATTTCAAAACCAGACACTCATACTATAAATACTGTAATGTGTGTGTTTGCTGCTGTTTACGTTGTACTAAATCCACTCAGCCAATGTCAGGTTAATCATTTTGCACGTTGTGTCTGTGCAGTTCATGGTCATATTAACAAACTCTAATGTTTGATTTTAAAGGCATTTGTGTTTGCTTTTGTACAATAAACAATTTTCGGTTTTGTATTCCCAATACAGTGACCACAATGTAAAATCTGGGCCCTAAGACCAAACATTTCAGAACCAGTAGTTTTTTCTAGCTATGTCAAGCTCTCCAAAAAAAAAAATTAAAAAAAAAAAAAAAAAAAAAAAAAAAAAAAAAAAAAAAAAAATTTTTACAAAATTTTAAACAAATTTTTTTTAAAAAAAATTAAATTAAATTAAATTAAATTAAATTAAATTAAATTAAATTAAATTAAATTAAATTAAATTAAATTAAATTAAATTAAATTAAATTAAATTAAAAACAAATGTTGCCTTGGCAATTAAATAAAATAAATAAAGTTCAAGCAATAAAATTAAATAAAACTACTACTAAAAATGAAATAAAAATTAAAAAATTAAATCAAAGCTATTTAGAAATGTTTAAAAAAACCGTATCAAAATTACTATATTAAAACTGAAAATATAAAAATAAATGTACTATTGGGTAGAAATTGCTTTAAAACAAAAGACTAGAAAAGTTGTAAATCCTAAAGAACATTAAGTACTTAAATGTAATTATTTATCATTTTTTTATTCACTTATTTTAAATAAATATTGGCATACATATAATTTCTAATATTTATAATAATATTTAAATATTTAATTAAACTAATTTAAATTACCACTTCTATTTTCTGTAAAATTCATTGGTAATTAAAAGTGTAAACCCTGAAGAACTTTCAGTTCAGCATTCATACTTTTTTTTATTAAATTTCTTTATGGAAATTTCTTTATTATTATTTTATTTACCTTTTTAAATAAATATTGTCATAAATATATGCATTATATTTCTATAAATATTCAAATGATACTTAAATTACAATATAAATCCACTTAGTATCTGTAAATGAAAAAGTTTGGTCGGCTTTGTCCGGAAATATCTTTGAGACCTTCAAAGTCTTGGATGATTGGGGGCTTTAGAGTCGAAAAGAAAACCCTAACCGCTACATTAGACTAACTAGCATTTAAGTGAAGAAAAGCATCACTGCACGCTTCCTTTTGTCAAACAGATCACAGTGTGACGGCAACACCTCGGAGACGACCTTTCAACTCCTCAAAGACACCCAAACTGCCACACACTTTACTGCCACAACAAATCTAACAGCGTCTCTCGATGCTCCATCCCAGCTGGCCAGTGAATCACGCCGAACGAAAAGGTTGTGAAGACAGACGCTCTGTACGTGTGCCAGTCAGACGGCGGGATTTCTGGTGTGAGCATCAACTCATGTTTTGTCCATGTTCAGTGGCTCAGAAAAAGGAGTGATTAGTTTGTCCCATTTCTTAAAGTGCTTCCAGGTCTCAAGTTGCAGAGATAAAAGCCAAGCGTGCAGTTTGAGGACCACAGATACCACCACAGAAGAGGAAAAGACGTTAAGCGGTGTACAGGAATGCATGCTGAGCGTGTTTAAAAACAAACCAAAGCTGGATCAGGGACGAGGCCTAAATCTCGCAGGTATAATGAGTCGTTTCACCTTCTCGGACAGACAAAGGGGTCTTTGAGGATTGTGTCGGCTCTAGTAATGAAACCCCGAAGAAAATCACAACTTGCGGGATAAACTGTTATGCAACTGTCAGTCATTCTGGCATGAGACCGCACGAGTCCGGCATGAAAACCATCAGTGGATGTTAACTTGATTAACTTGATTTTAGAGAGGGATTTTGTTCAGGGGGTTTTGGGTACAAGGAACTGTTTTGACCGAATGTGACCCTGAGTCTCACAAAACCTCTTCTGGGAACCGTAGAGTCCTGCTTAATTCTCCATCCAAATGAGAACAACAGACCCAATGGACCTTTGACGCCAGGATTGATTTGACAATGAAAACGAGGATCATCAAGTCGACAAAACATTGAACATGTCGTGCACAAAACTCGAACTCTAAGCCTTTTAGACGGTACAAGCTGAACGGTCTGTACTTCTGCCTCTCTCAACCTCATATTCATGCAAGCCAAATTAGTTAGGTTTGAAGATGAACAACGTGCTCACCCAGTGGTGTAGTCTACGTGATACGCAGGTATACGCCATATACCCACTAGGAAAGACCAAGGATTTCCGTATACCCACTTAAAAAAGCGTGAGGATACGTAACAATTTCGTTTGTGTCAGAACTTTCACACTTTCATTCATAAATTCACCCCGTCTGTGTTTGCGAAGCGACACGGATCGAATACCGGAATCCACTCACAAATGGAACTTACTGTATAAAGAACGTCACAGAATTGAGTAGAGCTGTACAATGAATCAAATCTCGATATGGACTAGTGTCTGTGAATATTAAAGCTCAAAGCACCACTGTGCTCACCATTCCTACATTTCTAACACACACCATTCCTACATTTCTAACACCATTCCTACATTTCTAACACCATTCCTACATTTCTAACACACACCATTCCTACATTTCTAACACACACCACATTTCTAACACACACCATTCCTACATTTCTAACACACACCATTCCTACATTTCTAACACACACTCACAGCGTTCGGCTGGTCTTCCGGCTGTGAGGGCAGAAACTAAAGCTGATGTATGTTTTTCTGCCGTCTCCAGGCATGTTCATATGTAAATTGCGTGAGCTTATTTTGTCCATTAGATCAAAAGATCTGAAAACCCCACACATTTACCCGCTCATAGACCCTCCCCTCGAAGAAATCAGGACAGAAGTGGGCAAGAGTGGACAAAAGAGACACCAGGAGTAAACGGGAATGTGTCCGCCTCGTCTACTTGTGACCCGATCGACCAAAACGCATCTCAATACCAGGTGGAAACAGGGCCTTAGATCAGATGCATATCAACATCTTCATCTAAACACCTCTTCCAAATGACTATTAACAATAAACTTCTGCAAAGGTATTGTGAACTTCTTTTTACCCCTAAGTGAAGAACAAAAAAAAAACCTTGTGAGTATATCAGGGCCTTAAGGGTCCACAGCTATAGGCTCCTCTTCTTCAGGGCATGTAGACTACGACGGCCTATAAAACCCTATCAAAGGATTCCCATCTGCTCCATTTAGGCACAAAAAAAAGACAAACCAGAGTCTCTCGCTGCCAAAACTATTAGAGGAGCTCTCTTGTTACCAGAACAATGAAAATTACGAGACCCCACCCAGAGCAGACAGCAGACGGGATGAGCTGCTGAAATCCAATTACTGACCGGGTCTTTTGGCTTTAGAAAGTTAAACAAATTCAGACAAAGTGAGATCAGTGCTTTGTTGCTGAGGCCAGCATGACTATTACAATCGTTTGAACCTCCAAACCTAAGTATTAAAATGTGGTGTGTAATTTGTACCGCACAATTTGTGATCATCAAATGATGATACCTCAAATCATGAGGTTTGAGGACATTTCTGGGCAAATTTCACCATAATACATTGTCTCTACTTAAATCCATAAAATAATACAGAACCCACAGCCAAGAGGATTAGAGCAAATCTTGACACTAATTTCCTAATTCCACTGTGCTTTTGTAAGAGTTATAAAAGGAGACAATGGAATGTGTGATCAGTTCCTTCTCGTGGTTTAACAGCTGTAAGATTAAATACCTGGGACCTAAACCTTTAAATCACTATGACCAACTCCACCTGTTATTCTACCTCTATAGCTGCATACTCAGGATTCAATCAGCATAAATATGGATTTCTATCACTGATGTTCACATGCTTCATTTGGCAGTAAATACTGTGATTTTACATCCCATGAGAAAGGAGACTTACGGTACAGACACCCGGCCTCCCCGTTGAGCTGGGACCATCCTGAGCAGCACTTATAAACCGTCTGGTGTTCCTGTCGATACACCTGTCTATATGCAGTGTAGTACGCCGTTCTGTGGAGAAAAAGAGAAACGAAGAACTCTATAGCATCTTTATTGTTTTATATTGTCTCACACACTCTACTGGTGCACTTTCTGTCAGACAAACACTGGATGGTACAATCAACTGTATAAAAGACACTTTAAGAATTGCAAAAAGGTCAAAAAGTCGATGAACTATATATACACATATACACTCAGCAAATAAAATGCATATCTTAGATTGCAAACCAGAACTGAAACATAAACAAGAGCAGCAATCGTCTTCAAGTTGCACAAAAAATGTAAATTGAAGGGCAATACATGAGCCATAAAAGAAACCATCGTTTAAAAAATAAGAAAAGAAAGGAAAAATAAGACTATGTATGGTTTCATTTATTTTTTCCATTTAGCACACAGGTAAAGATTAAGACCGTTAAACATTCTTTATGAGTATCCACATGTTAGTCATCAGCCATTTTTAGTGTTTATCAGTGTTCTCTCTGAGCTAATAAAGGCCTTTGTGGTTAGTCAGTGAATGAGAGAGATGAGCTTCGATGTGTGAAAACACAAACATGAGCTCTGTAATCAGCGGCGCTTCTCTCTCATCCAGCCTTTAAAGAGGCTTTCTGCAAGGGTTTCTCGCTCCCTGTAGTTTAGAGTCCTGCAGAATCGTAACCCTGCGCTCTTTGTTTAAAGCATCTAATTGCAGGGCCCGGGTCTCTTACCGAGGCTCTGGGTCTCTTACTCTTGCTAAGTATACGGAGGAAAGCGAGCCAGTGCGAGGAACACAGGGCTGTCAAAGCGCGAGTTCAGGGCGTTTGCCTTCTATCTTGTAGGTATGCGAGAGCCTCTGGAGATGCCTTTCAAATTGCTGCTTTCGTCAAGAGCTTGACTACACCTTACACTTAAAAGAGTCTGATTAGAGAACAAAGATACTGTAAAGCATGAGAACAAATGCACTTTTTTAGACGCCTCAGAAGGAGTCATGCTTGGTAAGGCATCACCATTACTATTGCATAATAAGGGGAAAGGATTTGAACAAATGCATACTGCACAGCATGTGGTTTACACCGCATACTATTTTTTAATAGTACGTGAAACAGTGTAGTGCAACAATAACAATTTCAAGCATGTGCATGTTTCATTTATGTCAGAAATGCTTATTGCACATTTTTAATTCAGGTGGTTTTGCATTAAAGGAAATCACTTTTTGCAGTAAAATCAAAAACAGATTGTGGTTCATTCATCGCACTGTAAATGAAAAGGCAAAGTTGAGCACATTGCATTGTGGGATGCAGCACCCAGCTGTAGAGAGTCATCTGAATATGCATTCATGTGGAAAACTTGCATACACATCATATGCATGCTATATAGCACAGAAATTGCAAGGGTTGTACGGTTGATTGATCAGACATGATGTTTATGTTCACATAAATCAGTGTTTTTGGTGTGTAAATATCAGTCGCACCTCCTCTCGTAGCCCATGCACCAGGACTGTCCCTGGCATCCCTGTTTCCAGGCTTTAACCATCCGAGTGAAGGCCTGGACACACGGCTGCATCTGGGCCACAAGCTTCACCTCCTTCTCAGCACACACATTTGGCCTGGAGATAAAACACACACATCCGTTTACCTGCAGGTTCAGTCAGATAGTCCTTCCATGCAGTTTTAATAAACTGTAATGAATTTGACAGGGGAACAAGTTGTAAGACCGTCAGTTACTTAGACACTCCATGTCACATTGAGCAATAGTGATCATTGAAATAATGAGAAAATGCCAGTAAATCATTTTTAATCATCTCTGCACTAACAGATGACAAGATACGCATGATTTACATCTCAAGTTCCCAGACTAATATATTAGTCACTCTGTAAAAAATGTTCTATTTCCTCAAACATTGACTGATCTCCACGAGTCAGTTCACATTAAACCTCCAGGCGATGATTTTCATGTGAGGAATTATTGGCACTAGATTTTTGTCAGAGACGTGAATTTTTTTGTTAATCACTCATATTAATGCATGTCGCAGTTAAAGGGTAGAGAAATGTACTTAAAAGCTGGATGCTTCAGTTTCATTCAACTCATGTGCATCAAAACCTACATAGACATCAATTTGGGATTTTTTTTGCTGTCTTGATAGGCAGCTCGATGGGTTTCCCGTTTACTATGATTGCCATTAAGTTATGAAAATATTATTTCTGAATGTTCTCTGAACAATCGAAACGTTCCATTTTTGCAAACATTATGGAAACGTTACATTTGAAAGTTCTCTATACGTTCTAAAACAAGTAGTGCGTTGAACGGTCGTACAAATGTGTATTGCGTTTTTGTTATTATAGAACGTAAATAAAGACCAGACAACGTTAAACGAAGGTTCTATTAATGTTACTGGAAGAACGTTTGCTCATAACATTGAAAGAACCTTAGCAGAACGTTGGCCAAAGTTAGCTGGACTGACACAAACAGTAACCCACGTGTTTAATTAATGCGCGTAAACAGCTCCGCGTCAAAGCGAGTCTCCAATTTGAATAAAACATGTAATTTAACTACAATAACGTAAAAGTGATATAATATAAGCACGAATGTGAGAAATATATTCGTTCATTAAATACATTATTTATAGTGGTATTCAAAGTTAAGCAGTGATGATAATCTAGAAGCGCGCGCAACTGATCACCAGTTACTCACATGTGCGGCATCAGGTCTTTTCTAGAACGGGATGCTGCATTAATTCCATGAATTAGAATGATTAAAAAATAAAACAACATATCCATCCTCATACGCTGTTCTGACTGAGTCCTGAACCTAAATAACACACTTAAAATAAATGTTAGAACTAACTAGTGTGAGTCCATATTAATCCGCGCTCTGGAGAGGACTGATTCTGAAAGCGCAGCAGCAGATGACGGAGAAACTCTCAGATCCACCTCACACACCAGCTGAGATCCAATGCCCTCAGGACACTCGCTCTTCCTGTAGGAGCAGTGAAGGGAATGTCCTTTGAGAAGAACAGGACAAATACGGGAACGACCTAAAGCAGCAGAAGAGCTGACTGACCGGATCGCGTTACTCAGCTTGATTTACTGCGACACTTCAAAGTGCCTGATTCAAAGGGAAACACTTTATTAGACACATTTCAGAGTCAAATGAAGGTCACTTTGTAACCTTTAAACCATTGAGGAACAGCTTCTAATGTAAAGCAATGGAGATATTAAGTCTGAGAGCATTTTTTTACTATTTAAACCTGCAAATAAAGTTATAATAAATTGATTTCTGTACATATTAAGTTATTCGAAAGGCAATTCTCAAATAGTGATTTAATGATATACAGCACCACTTCAACCTTTCCTGTAATATTTGTAATATTATTAGCATAATAATTGCTATTGTTTTTCATTAATAATAAAAAAAATTTTGGGATGCCACTTTATATATTTATCTTACACTAATTTAACAGAACCTTCACCATGTGACATCAGAAGTTATTCTCTCACAGGACAGGACTGTGGAGGGGTCCCCACGCCACAGCTGAGAGTGGAGGATGATGGGTCACAGACGTGAGGGCCGGTTCCAGGTCAGCGCTGGGATCAGGGAATCTGGGACAACAGAGGCCGGAACACATTCCCAGGCAGCGCTGATCCAGGGGTCAATGCCAACCGGGTTCAACGCCTCTGCCATGATCAGAATGTGCTTTACACGCTAAAACACACCTATGAAAACATCTGCTGGTATTTTGAGGACATGTGGACGTGTCACTCCAGGAATATTATGTGGGAATGTTTAACAGAATTCATTAAAAGTACGATAAATAGTTATTGCACTGTGGAACAAAACATTAACATTCCTAAAATGTCAAGAAAGAATCTGCATAATGTATCCTAAATCTATTAAGGAGTTTTTCCATAATATGTATCACCTCACACAACTGTCACGACTTCACTTCATGAATATAGAAATGTTACTATATTTTTTTAAGCCAGTAAAATGAATGACCATAAAGTTTGCTGAGTCCCCCTGGATGAGGATCACTGCACAACAGAACTGTTAAAATCAAACAATGCTAATTTTAGTAGTGAAAAATTAGGGTAACACTTACTTTTTTACAGTGTCCTTGTTACACGTGTAGTTTCTATATTAATTACTATAAATTACGCATAATTACATGCAACTAACCCTAAACCAAACCTAATACTAACTAACCCTATAGTATGTAGTAATATTAATATTACTCAGTTAACTGATTAATATTAATAACTACATGTACTTACTATAGGGTTGGTCAGTTAACTGAGTAATATTAATAATAACTACATGTACTTACTATAGGGTTGGTTAGTATTGGGTTTGGTTTAGGGTTAGTTGCATGTAATTATGCATAATTTATTAATTGCACTGTAACAAAGACACTTAAATATATTATTTCCCCATCAAGTTTAGCCAAAATATTGATGCAGACAAAGGAAATGTTCATTCACGTTTTTGGTCCCTGTTATTTGTGTTCTGCTGACATCTTCAGGATACAATGGGAGTTTCATGTGCTCAAAAGAATGATAAGTGATATTTGAAAACCCACATCGTTATTTTGAGCAAAGGGATGATGCAAATGACCTTTGAACTTTCAAATGTCCACCTCCTTATGATGACCAATTGAATGCATTCCTCTACGTTTCGGCACAGATCGGGCACTTTCCCCACGGTCCCTCAGTCCACGCGCGTCCTTCGCCCTGGTAGTGCTTTCCACATTACAGGAAATTTACTATGATGAACTTTGCTACCATAAGAGCCCTGAGTGGAGTTCACCACGGAATCCGTACGATTCAAAAACAAACATTACACTTTAACCAACTCCGCAACATGTCTCAGTCCAAACTCCCCGTCACTCTGCTGGGGTCCATGGCGTTTGGTGGACGCGCGGACGCGCACACGAGCGCGCAGCTGGTCCAGGTGTTCTTAGAGCGCGGGCACGATGAGCTGGACACTGCGTTCATGTACAATGACGGACAGGCGGAGACCATCATAGGAGACATGCGACTCCCTTCAACAGGTACAGTTCTTCCTCAACAGTGTGTGGCGATTACAGCAGATATGAGTGTATTGGTGGGTAGATGTAGATCACATGACACGCAGGCACGTGACATGTTTATTTGTAAGATCAAAGAGGTATTTTTTTAGAACCAAACTAAAATATATACGAAAATATTCACAGAAAAATACTAAAATACCGTGCATAGTAAATGTATCTATTTTTAAAATAAAAAATTACAAAGTAAAAGGGGATTTTTTTTTTACAAAAAACATATTAACATATTATTTTAATTTGTTGTTTATTTTAAAGCTAAAATATTTAATTATAAATGAATTGATGTTTTGTATTTATCATTTGTTATTCATTTATTATTATATTGTTGTTTATTGTAATGATTCATTGTTTCATTGTCATTTATTTATTTAGTATTTTAATCTATTATTTATTATTATTTTAATTCAGATCAATAATATTAAACAGCAACAAACAAGAAAAAACATTAAAAATAACAAGAAACAATACAAAATAAGGTACTTCAAATAATAATAATAATATATGAAATTATATTTTCACTCATGCCTGTGATTATTATTCCTGTATGGTCACTTAATCGAAAAGGGAGTATATTTTGAATCATGTTTAATGTGTTTATCAGTTCGAATCGCGACTAAAGCAAACCCCTGGGAGGGAAAAACCCTGAAACCAGAGAGTGTGGTGAATCAGCTGGACACGTCTCTGAAGAGGCTGCGCACACAGTGTGTGGACATCTTTTACCTGCACGCGCCAGACCACCAGAACCCCGTCCAACACACACTCGAGGCCTGCAACGGGCTCCATCAGCAGGTGCGTCACACACACACACACACACTTCTACAGCACAACTCTACAAGTTTGATACATGTCTGACAATCAGGTGAGTTCTTCATCTGATCTAGATTATTTTGTAACTCCTCACATAAACTGGCCTTGCTTTGCTAAACTAAGCTGTGTGTTGATGTTTAGGGCAAATTCAAGGAGCTGGGCTTATCAAACTATGCATCATGGGAAGTGGCAGAAATCTGCAGCATCTGCAAACATAATAACTGGGTGCTTCCTACTGTATATCAAGTAAGTGGATAGATGGATGGATTACAGTCTAAATATAAGGACTAGTATAAAACTAATTTCAGATCTTAAATGAAGAACTACTTACTGCTATTGAGTGTTACTTAAGAATGAACGGGTGAGTTTTGATCAGCGTTGGTGTTCTCTTCTGAAGGGCATGTATAATGCAACCACACGACAAGTGGAGACTGAGCTACTGCCGTGCTTAAGATACTTCGGCATCCGCTTCTATGCTTACAATCCCCTGGCAGGTAATGCGTATAATATTGCAAACACAATAAATCAGTTCCTAATGAATATTAGACCAAAAGTCAACACACACACGCATATAAATATCTATCTAGATGGATAGATATACTATAGATATACACACATATATACATAATATTTATTTATCTATCCATTTATCTATCTTTTTTTTTTAACCCACAATTTTTATTTCTATCACTAAGCTCTCAAATCACCATTTATCCTGCAATGTAAATGACATTTTAAACATTTTTGGAATGAGATATGATATCAGTCTCGCTTAGACTAATTTCCTAGCTATAGCATGATATGGTTTTTGCACACTTTTTGCATAATTTGAAAACATTTTTTATTTGGAAATATACTGATCGCAAGTAAAATCCAGGGAAATATCACATGACTTTTCTGCATTTCTTCACACATTGCATGTGTGCTCCTGTCACAGGTGGGCTCCTCACTGGGAAATATCACTATGAAGATAAAGACGGCACTCAGCCCGCGGGTCGGTTCTTCGGGAACAGCTGGGCTGGTGCTTACAGGGACAGGTGCATTATTTTATTTATTTATTTATTTGATATGGACATAACAACAGCATTGGACAAACCAGATACATTGTTTTTTAGTGTTATACCAAAACTGCTAATTTACAACACTTGTCCATAGGAGGCTACGCATTTCACAAAACACAACACAGTACAATATACAAAACACAGTACAAAACAGTACAATATTTAAGAAGGTAAACAATACACATCATCACTATGCATTACCATGTGTGCAGCTTTGACTTGACCTCAGCCGCTGTTTCAGACCTTATTATCATCAGTACAATACTCACATCAGTGATTTAAGATCAATCTCTAGATCGAGTTAGTCGGGCAGAAAGACTTTACTATTATTAAATGTGATCAATGTTACATGTTTGTGGGGCATGATGTGTATTTCAGATACTGGAAGGAGAGTAGCTTCCAAGGCATCGATGGCGTACAGAAGGCTCTGGAAGAAGCGTACGGCTCAGAGAAACCCACTCTCACTTCAGCTGCTATTCGCTGGATGTATCATCACTCTCATCTGAAGGTGGGAGACATCATGAAACCATCTAATGCACATTTTGAGACATTTTATTATTGAGGATGTTTGCCACAGGCCGTGAGGGAGAGAATACAGTGCGTTCAATTTAATATCAACATATTGATTAGTTCAGCTGACGAAAGTTGTGAAAATTACATGATCTAGGTCCTTTATACAGTGTGCGCCGTTGGAAAGATAGCAAGTCTATCCCTCGTTTATCCGCATTAAATTAAATATGGCATCTTACCTGACTACAGTCTATTAATACAAGATTTTACTTTCTCTAAAATTTGGTCATTCTGTCCAAGTCCACATAAAATCAAGGGTCCAAATTTATATCAAGTGCATTGATTTAACTACTACATATAAAAAATAAATTAATCAATTGGTCAGTAAAATGTGGTCAAAATGTGTATTGCAAAACACTTTTGAGGTGGGATACGGGTAAATGTAAGGACGGGTTTTGTTGTAAGTGTGAGGAAGGGTCATCAGAGTAATCATAGATCAGTAATTACACGAAGGTATTTGTTAGGTAACGTAACGCTTTATTTTAAGGTGACAGTTACACATTACTACATGTACTTAATATAGTAATAAGAGTAAATTATGCATAAATACAAGCAACACTAAACTAAACCCTAACTCAATAGTAAGTACATGTAGTTAATTAATATTACTGATTTGAGTAAGTGCAATGGGTAACACTTTATTTTACAGTGTCCTTGTTACATGTACTTACCATAGTTATAACAGTAAATTGTGCATAATTACATGCAACTAACCCTCAACCAAATTCTAATCCTATAGTAAGTACGTTGTTAATTATTATTACTCAGTCCTTAAATGTATAATTACATTGTAACAATGACACCTTAAAAATAAAGTCTTACCATTTTTTAAATAAGTGCAACGTCCAAACATGCATGCATATTAGTTAGTGCATTGTATCAAATTATTACGGTAATTTAGTACACAAGTTAAAGACACTTAATATAAAGTGAGACAAAATCAAGTGACTTTCCAAAAAAAAAAGTTTTGTAATCTGTCATAATGCATTAGTTTGTCGGACATTTGACTAGCATCATGACCATAGCAAATGTAAACTCGATGTCCTAAGGTTTACTCAACTCATAATGGAATTAAACCGAGATATTTCATGTGTTTGCAGGGGGCTGAGGGTGACGGGGTCATTATCGGGATGTCCAGCATGGATCAGCTGCGGGAGAACCTGACGGCAGCAGCAGAAGGTCCACTGAAACAGGCAGTCGTGGACGCTTTCAAACACGCCTGGGATTTAGTGGCCCACGAGTGTCCCAACTACTTCCGCTAGACAGCCCGTGACAATTAGAGAAAACATGAAGCCTGATTTAGAAGAACTAAAACAGAAATCGCTTTATTTTTCTATGGTCAAGTGACAAAACAGTGATAAATTGAGTTGGATCTGCTTCCTAATAAACACAATGACAAAATCAAAACTCTTCCTGAGCTCACCAGCACTTAATGTATTACATTCCCCCACGTTTACATGAGAACGCAATTGTGGCATCTTGATGGATCACTGCGTTGTTTTCTTCTTGCCATAAATTTGCTAAATAACTTATATTTAACAGTAAGAACACACAGATCACCTGTTTGCCTCAGTCCCGTTCTCTCTGTTCAGTACAGTCATACAGAAACTAGTATTTTTGAAACAAACAGTGTGGAGATGACTGACCGTAACTGGCAGCTGACTGAAAGAACGCTCAAAAACATTTTACAGTTTTATGTTGGATCAAAACAAACAAATGTTCATGGCAAAAAAGTCCAGGATTTATTCGCTCCCTTCTCCTTCCTCTGAGTCTTCATCTGCGTCCTCTTTCCTGGCGTCCTCGACGTCCCCATCCGTTAGCTTCTCAAAGTCCCCGGATTCTGAATCCCACATGCACTTAATCGACAGTTTGAACTCCGCCATCTCGTTTCCAAAGAGTTTCTGATTTGAAAGGCCAAAAATACATCGGTTTAGAATAATGTTATTAAAAATTCAAGATTGAATCCCAGTTAGTTTAGGACATACGAAAGCTCATCACGGAAAATAGAAAAGGTAATTGCGACTTCACGATCTCACAATTCAGACTTTTTCCTTTAATTTACCTTTACTTCACGATCGATTACCCTTTTTATTTTTTTATTCCATGGCAGAAACAAACTTCCATAATGACATAAAAGGATATTGTTGTCGTTTTAAATGCATTTCAATCCAAATAAAGAGATGTGATATTTGTGAATAAACCATCCAGCAATAAATGCATTTCAAAATTGACTAAGTTTTAATTTAGTCTTTTTGTCCTGTTTTCCAGCTAAAATATCTAAAAAAATAAATATTGAGAAGCAACAGTGTAAGTTATTACAACTTAAAAATAGTAGACTGGAAAGTCAATGGGGTCCAACTGACTAATTACCGACAATCTTCAAAATATCTTCTTTTGTGTTCAGCGGAAGAAAGAAACCCATACAGGTTTGGAACAACATGTGGGAGAGTAAATTACAGAATTGTCATTTTTAAGCGAACTACTTTAAATTTAGTAAATTCTGAACAAAAAAAGTTACATAGTGCACCTTTAAGAATAGGATTTTTAGCAGTGTATTAATGACACAAACTCACCAGAATTCGAGCCTGTTCGGGTGTGAGTGTGTCTCCCTCTTTACACACTACAAAATCCTTTATCAGCGTCACCACACCTGCACATGGATTGATATGTTAGTGCACACTACTTTTTGTCCAATGCAATTTCAAGTACACTTATGCTCCACTGATAATAGACCATTTCAAATTTCAGTTTCTTTTCTTATATATATTAATTAGGGGTGTAACGGTTCACAAAATTCATGGTTCGATACGATACAGCAAAAAGAAAGAAATGCCAGAGAAATTTCCTATTTATTAAAAGAAAAAATATTTTTAACTAAGTGTGAGTTTTCCTACATCTTGAAACTTTTAGTTTTATAAATGGGGGTAATCTTTGAAGGATGAACAAATAATGTTTTGGTCATCACATTAAAAATAACATTTAAATATGATTATTATTGGAGTTTTGAAGTGCTGGAAAAAGATGCGTGATGTGGGTCTACTTGAAAGCATTTGACTATTTCTGCCAAACTTCCATGGTTACAAGTTAGTGTTACTACATTAAATCCATGGTGAATGTTGCTGATCTGTGGACTTAAAACCTATAACTAGTTCATTCATGGAACAATGTTTCTCCTGGTTTCCACGTCAGCGCCGTTTGATCCGTTAATAACGGAGAAATGTTCGGAAAATTTAATAACGGAAAACACTTCTCACTAGATCTCGCTGCAATGTTATTACTTCTGTGGCGAATTCAAATGCTTTGTTTACTGGATCTCTTAGCGCTGTGTTGTAACAGTGTCGCTTGATCAAGATCGGCTCGCGCTGCACTGACATCGATGGTCCAAACTGATAAACGGTCCGTGAAGCACAAAATAATGAGTAGCGCAGTTTCGTTCCGCTTTCATTACGTTTGCCATTTGATGTTGGGCAACGTTGCGATTTTGGTCAGCAGGAAAAATGGTCCAACGAATCGTTCGGTTTGTAATGCGTACCGAACCGGAAGCCTCGTACCGAACGGCTCAATACGAATACATGTATCGTTACACCCCTAATATTAAAGGGATAGTTCACTATGAAATTAATTTTTGATATGTTTTAGCTTACCTCAAGGGCATCCAAGATGTAGGTGTCTTTGTTTCCGCAGTAGTTTTAATTTTGATATTTTTAGGTCAAACCGTTCTTGTCTGTCAGTCATATAATGCAGGTCTATGGTCACCACCTCAAAGAGCATGCACAGAGAAGTCCAAATTAAACATGATTTAATGACTCGTAAATGTAAGTACACATTGATGGCCTAAGACACGAAACGAGCGGTTTGTGTGAGAAAACGAACAGTATTTATATCGTTTTTACTTCTTGTAACGCACAGACCGAAGCGCCCGCGCCCTCAGATCACTTGGACGTGGCTGTGTTTACAAGAGGTAAAAACTATATAAATACTGTTCGTTTTCTCACACAAACCGCTCGTTTCGTGTCTTAGGCCATCAATGTGTACTTACATTTACGAGTCATTAAATCATGTTTAATTTGGACTTCTCTGTGCATGCTCTTTGAGGTGGTGACCATAGACCTGCATTATATGACTGACAGACAAGAACGGTTTGACCTAAAAATATCAAAATTGAAACTACTGCGGAAACAAAGACAACTACATCTTGGATGCCCTTGAGGTAAGCTAAAACATATCAAAAATTAATTTCAAAGTGAACTATCCCTTTAATGCATTCTGTCTTGTTTTACAAAAAACATTGCAATTGGGAGTATGAATTTGTCAAAATGACATAATACCTCATACGAATGCTTCTTTACAGTCCACACAGAACTCATGTGTGTGCTAGTCTCTAGTTAAGGAGTGGTTTACCTTTCTTCAGAGCTGTGGGAAGGCCGAGCTGTCTGAGCTGAGGCTCCATCGAGTGTGGAAACTGTTCTAGCGGACCCTCGTCCAGCGTCACTGCCATGGTCGCTACGCTTCCCGCTCGAGCGTAATCCATCTCTTTAAACTCACTGAAATATCTGCGGGAGAACAAACATGTTATGAAAAGAAGAATACATGAGATTTTATTAGAATTCATTGCTAAAGTTTGAACAACCAAGTGTGTAAGGCATGGCAGACAGCATTCATTTCAGTCACACTACCCAGTATTTCAGTCCATCTAGTTTTTAATTCATCAACAAGCAGTTTATGCACAAGACTCCTAAATTATGACAAAACACTCAGTTTCATTTAAGATCATCAAAGCATTAACTGGTGTCCGAGATCCATTACTTACTCTTGCACCTCGTCTTTGGTTTTGTTTGTGAACAAGACACCGACTTCACCTCTGAGAAACCTGCTCAGCTGTACACAAACCACAACGTCCAATCAGTTATATACTCTAAATTAGCCAGAGTAAGCCAATGTAGTAGAAACAAATTCATAAAATTTGTGTAAACATTCATAATGTTTCAATTAAATCATTGAAGACGTGCACTGACATACTTTATGCAGATTATCTTTGTATTCGTCAGTCGGTCCTTTACCCAGCGCAATCATCATGACTTTGTTCTTACCGAAGAAGAACCTGAAACACAAAACCCCAAATCAACATTAATCTCTTTTAAATAAAGCATAGTAAATCAGCATTAGCATGAAGTGTGTGTGTACTGGTTTAGCTATACTTGTAAGGGTCAAATGTCCTCACTTACACAGTGAAATATTCTGACAACAAACTAGTGAGGACATTTTACTGGTCCATACTAGTTTAAAAGGCTTATAAATCCACCAAAACATGTTTTTATTTTAATCTAGTGTGTGTGTGTGTGTGTGTGTGTGTGTGAGATAGAGAGAGAGTGTGTGTGTGGTGTGTGTATGTGCAATTGTGTGTAAGTGAGTAAGTATGTGTGGTGTGTATGCACAACATTGTGTAAGTGAGTATGTGAGAGAGTGTGTGTGTAATTGTTAGTATGTGTATGTGTGTTTGTGTGTGTACCGGCTGTGTTTCCAGGCCGTCCTGATGTCTTTCAGTTTGTTGTTTCTCATGTTCTCTACTGAGAACACAAACACGTATTTGTAGATGTCTGCACATTTCCGCAGCTGATAAAGTGAGAAAAGGAAAAATGATTTTCATCAATCATAAAGCTATAACACTCATCAAATCTGGATGCAAAATGAGTGGCATTAATGATGTGACTTTATACAGTCAGATTTTCTTTCTCCATTGAAGCTTCAACATCTCAAAACATGATGTATAACATGATCATCTGGTATTATTATGGTACATACTTGTGTATCCCCCAAAAGAGCAATGAAACGTCATACTAACCTCTTCAATCAAGTTTTGTTTGGATTCCAACCCTTTCTTGGTTGTTTTGGTTAAAGAAACTGTTAAAAAAAATAAAGTCACTATTAACGATTATGACATTAACACATTCAAACACACCCAGCTGCTTCAAAAATAATACACTCAATAACTGACAGTAATATAGATTGCAGTTCAACCATGTATGAGAAACAAGTAACAAACATGAATTTATTTTAGTACTGTGCCAATTATAACGTTAATACGTTACACTCTTTAACCACACCACGAACTAAAGCTCGATTAATTGTAATCTATGGTGTGTAAAGTTGATAAATAGTAAGTGATAAAACATACTAAAACATTAAATTCATACCTTTCTTGTCTCTCTTGGATTTCGGCATGGTGCTCACGTTGTTTTCTTCTTCGCCTGCGGATCCTCCAGCGCTTGGTGACCATTGAGGAGTCACAGCGCCGACTAGTGGTGCTCGCTGGTGCCCTCATGAATATTAATCAGATCACCTCCAAACCAGCAGGAGGCGCAGCACACGTCAAATATTACAGTATAAAGACGAGTGCTGTACTAGACAGGAGATTTTAACAGCTACTTTCTCTTATTTCTGACGATGACGTCAGGGAAATCGCTTATTAGTCTATGAAGATAGTTTTTAAAAAAATTATCGCTAAAAAAAAAAAAAAAAAAAAAAAAAAAAAAGATAGTTTTTAAAACTTTAAAGTTTACAGTTTTTATAGTAGCCTATGCAATATTTAACATTAGCCTATGTACAGTAAAACACCTCATTTTGTCAATATGCCACATTTTTTCAATAAGTACAACAAGCACAATAACTAAATAATACAAATAAATAAACAAATTAAACACATGCAGGGGTGTCCTAAAGTATTTGCACTTAATTAGGGTACTAATAGCCTACGTAATATTATTTTGAGTTTTTTTTTTTTACTCAAGTACTTTTATAGGGCAAGATATCCTCTGTTTATTGCAATTAATTAAATGGAATGGTTTTTTTTCTTCACTTAAGCACTACTTAAATATTTAAAATTCTAGCACTGCACCCACTGTAAAACCCAATAAGTTAACTCAACTCAAACTGATTGAGGAAACTGATCGCTTCAAATCATTTAAGTTTGAAAAACAAATACATATGAGTATTGTGAACTTATATATATGGAGTCATATTCACTCATAATTTAGTGTTGGTTAGTCAATCATTTTGAGTATATTGAACTTGAATATTTTAAGTTCATTCCATTCATTTAAACTAACTGGTTTGAGTTCATTTAATAAATCTAATCAAGTCTAAACAACTATGTAGCTCCTCAAATGGTTTGAGGAAACCGATTGCCGTAAATGATTTAACCCTTTGAAGTCCGCACCAAGAAAAAAGTGATGGAAATGTTTTTTGTTTGCATTTCTTATCTCCGTATGTCGCTGGTAACCACACTCAATGTATTTTTTTTTCCAACACATCCCATCATTTGTTCAAATATCGGCCTCGACCAAATGGTTGAGATGTCACTTAATGTTAAAAAAATGGTACCGGAATTCATACTCATACTTTGCCATACTTTTTCATTGCCCATCATAATTTATGATCAAAACCTTTTCTAGTCTTAAGACAAAACACATTGTCAGAAAGGTCTGAGTCTCAAGGTTCCATATTTTGTAACAGAAGTTATATTTGGACAGAAATTTATTAATTTCTTACAGCAGAATGCATACAATTAAATTCAATGGAATTGATGTCATTTTTGGTATTACGCCTAAACAAAGCTCATGGGAACTTCAATGTTTGTGATATCAACTTCAAATTTGGAACACAACTTGGTTGGATATATGGCTTTGATTTTATAGTAAGTTTATAGTAAAAAATATTTTGTAAAATACATATTTTATATAAAAGAAAAAATATTAAGTACAGTATATTTGATTTAATGTAAATTTAAAACTTCCATAACTTTTTCATACTTTTATTTTTTGAAGTGCTTTTACTTCAGCAATAATCTGCTGAGTGTTTTCTTTAAAACAAGACTAAACTTAGGTCTTTATTCCAAAGCATACTTGAATTACAACCAAGTTTTAATAGTGCATTGTAATGTCCATTCTCAAAAAGGGGGGTGACCGCATAGGGTGACCGTTAACCGTTATGTGCCAAATCAACCGTTTGGTTGAGCATGTTTTTGAAAAATTATTAAAAACATACTTAAGTTTTTTCATGGCACCAAGTAACATAATTTTGTAAAGTTAGACAGGGTAATATGTCAAAAAAAATATGATTAGCTTGCAAAATTTCACCAAAAACAGTTCACATGGCTGGGGTGATTTATTTGTTTCTGACATCCATGTTAGAAGAAGTGTTGTGACAAGTGCTGTTGATTGACACTGTGACATCTAGTGGATTTTTTTTGGCATATCATACCTCAACCAGATGGTAGAGATGGCTCAATCAGTTTGAGTTAAGTTAGGTACTCCTCTCAATAAAATATAGTGACTCAAAATGTGACAGGGTTAAGCTGATTAAACTCAAATTAATAAAGTTAAGTATTAATAAAGTATAAGACAAGGGAAAAACATAAAGCATTGATGAAAGAAAAGGATGCAATTATTAACAGTATTTATTGGAAAAATCATTTATACAAAAGGTTCTCAGGCATGAATGTTGTGAAGATGGTCAGTCAGTCTCCTCACTGTCAAATATACAAAACTGTATACTTATATTTAAATATAATTTCTGTATTTTTCCTTTCCCTGCTGTTTACAAATAAACAAAATCCGCCGCTGTTAAACATGGCATTAAAGGACCAGATCTCAGGCTGATCATTTCAACACGTCATGAATACACCTTTTCCCCAGACGCCTAAAACTCATTAGGAACTGCCTGGTTTTGTTATAGATTCATATGAGAATAGATGGATTCACGTGGGCACTTAACACTTGAATGAAAGGATTTGTAGCAGACATGACTGCATTCCCAAAAACTTTGATTTTGCATACTTGTACTGTCTATTCAAAACAATTGCAAAAATTGCATGATCCTCATAGATCCATGGGTGTGTTTTCTGCACATGTTCGGATGGCCATCAAGCCAGGGCAGGTTTAATGCTTGTGTAATAATGTCTGATTCAATCAGTCTTTTGGTGAAATGAAAGCACTCCAGCTTTGTGTTGCCACAACATGCAAAAGTGAAAAAGTCATCAACTCAACGCCTTCTTCTTCTTCAGTGCGCTTCAACTTAAAACTTTACTGACAGTGTTCATTTATGAGTTTATCAAATATCAAGTCTGCTTGGTCTTTTCAACTCTGACTAATGAGTCGGAATTAATAACTAATTTACATTCACTGAAGTGATTATGTTGTTGCAATGAGCAAGACGTAAAATGTTTATATTATATATACACACACACACACACACACACACACACACACACACACAGACCGTTCAAAGGTTTTAGATTGATTATTATTGTCAATCAATAAAACATTATCAACAATGTTGTACAATTTCTTTTTCAGGATTCTTTGATGAATAGAAATTAATACTTTTATCCAGCAATGATGCATTAAATTGATCAAAAGTGACAGTATAAGATTTTTATAATGTTAAAAAAGCATTCTATTTCAGATAAATGCTGTTATTTTGAGCTTTCTAGTCATCAAAGATTGTACACAACTGTTTTCAACATTGATATTAATCCTAATGTTTCCCGAGCAGCAAATAAATCAGCATATTAGAATGATTTCTGAAGGAATAAATTACATTTGACTATATATTCACATAGAAAACATTTTAAATTGCAAAAAATATTTCACAATATTTCTGTATTTTTTTTTTATCAAATAAATGCAGCCTTGGTGAGTGACCTAAAACTACATAGATAGATAGATAGATAGATAGATAGATAGATAGATAGATAGATAGATAGATAGATAGATAGATAGATAGATAGATAGATAGATAGATAGATAGATAGATAGATAGATAGATAAATAGACAGATAGATAGATAGATAGATATATAGATAGATAGATAGATAGATAGATAGATAGATAGATAGATAGATAGATAGATAGATAGATAGATAGATAGATAGATAGAACATTTAAATAACATAAACTTTTTTGCATCATATACCATTTTTTTTAAATGCAGGATGAGCGAAATCGTTTTAAATGTCAAAATATTTTTTTCGACATAATCAACATAAGCAACCTTTTTTGATCAGTTATTTTTAGATTTTTTTTCAATTTATCTATTGCTTTCTTTTGTCTTATTAAGAGAATTATCCATCATTGCTTAAAGTGTAGGCTACCTATTTATGTTACTGCAAAAGCGCATTTTATTATTACAAACAGTGCAAAACAACAACAACCAGCAAACCCAAAATAAAGTATAGGCCTACTCTGACACGTGCATTTGTTAGATTCTTAGGTACGAGCACTGAGAAAACGTTTTGTTTTTCTCAACTTCTTAACTGGTTTGTGCTTTTGTGGGTCTTTTAAAATGGTGCGTCTTTGAAATCGGATTATAATATATAGACTTACAGTATTAAGAAATAAAAAGTGTGGAGTTTGTTGAGGGGGCGATATTGTCCTGCACTCCCTCCTGTCCTGTGTGCGCGAGTGCGCGCCTGCGCGTCCCGGGGTGTGTGTGTGTGTGTGTGTGTGGCGCTGGCGAGGGCGGAGAGTCCGCTGCGGATCTCCTTCTTTTAGGAGTCTGAAACTCGATCCCGTCCCGCCGGTTGCTATAAAACAGTCGCGCGATCACGGAGTCACCCGGAAGAGTCTGTGTGAATAATATCAGTGTGATCGGACAGTTTGGAGTTCATTCTTGCGCTAATATCACTGAGATGAGTCGCAGATCTCCAGATGTCCCGGAGTTTCAGGAATGAGCTGACATACACACAGTGTGCTCCGATATTCCTCCCCGTTCCCATGGAGAACATGACGCGTCCTGGAAGGATAGACAGATAATGACTGCACTGCTTGTTTCTGCTCGATCGATGAGGGTTTTTTACGCATGAGAAGACACACCAGCTTCAGAGAGAATCTGAAGGATTTGAATTGAGGTAAAGCGCACTGGTTCTGTACGAAAGCATGAGTTCTCTGTTGTTTGGAGAGGGGTTTCTGGGCGGTGTGGTGAGCGGTGCGCCATCGGACGCGGTGCCCAGAGCTCTGCGCAACGACCTGGGATCCAACATACATGTGCTCAAGACCCTCAACCTGAGGTTCCGCTGCTTCCTCGCCAAAGTCCATGAGCTGGAGAGAAGGAACAAACTCCTGGAGAGCCAGCTGAAGCAAGCCTCCAGTCAGCCGAGGTATCCCGGCTTCTCCTTCACGCGTGAGGTGGCCGTTCAGACTGACTCTCTGGAGTCCAGACTTCCAGGCACCATCTGGAGTTACACGCATATTCTGAGACATGGGGAGCGCGTGAAGGGACCCGGAGTCTCCTGGACCCATCCGGACGGGGTCGGGGTCCAAATCGACACCATCACCCCAGAACTAAGAGCCTTGTATAACGTCCTGGCCAAAGTCAAGCGAGAGAGGGATGAGTACAAGAGAAAGTAAGTATACTGTGTTTACTGATGCTTTGGTTGAGGTGTGTGTTTGGGACAGTTCTGTAGGCCTGAACGACTGATTCATTGCAGCAGAATTTCTTGGCAGGTGAACAGCATATATTGAAGGGCCCAGTTTTGTATGCAGGACAGCTGGACAGACAGAGTCCACAGGACAAATGATGTTGGTGGGTTTATATGGGAAACATTTCTGAGAAATTATTCTTTAGGACTTTCATCAAGGATATATGCAATTGAGTTCTTTAAAGATGCAATCACATCATTTTTTTTGCATGTGGCTGATTATAAAGATGATCTTGTGAAGGCAGAGACTTGAGCGCTCTGGTGAGGTTTTTCCATCTGTTCCGACAGCAGTAAGTGATTACTATTATATGGTCACCTCTAAATATACCAGCCTTTCTGGCAATGCTCAGCCGCTAAAGTCCTCCAGTCCTCCTGCAAAATATTGCAGCTGTCTTCAGAAATATGATACGAGAACCTCTTTATTACACTTGCCCAGTGATTTAGTTCATTGTTTGCCCAGTTCATTGGGGTGCACAGAAATTCAGAGACTTGATAGGTTGTGAATCTCTCAAAACATTTCAAGATGATGTCTGAATCAAAAATAATTGCATACTGACAATAAGACATACTTTATGGCCATTATGATGTGACATCATTTTCATGAAAATCTCATTACTGTAATACAAAAAATGTAAATATGCTTGATTGAACACTATTGAAGATAAAACAGAAAAATAATTGACATAAATGGAATAGTAAAAGTAAAGCAATAGGATGCATTGCAGTAATGAGGTTAAGTTTTTGCATTTACAGTAATGAAAAGTTGAGGGTAAAATGTGCTGAAAACTATGCTCCTAAAATTATTATTTTGTTTTATTAATTCTTTCCCCTTTGCTAAATATAATTTCCCATTTTGTTCTAATGGTTTTAGAGTGTAATATGAGACAGACATGATGAAAGATTTCATGATTTCCATGCAGCCTTTGTAAATGAGATTACAGCTGGATGTTGAATGGGTTTTATTAATGCATGACTTCTGAATGACTTCAAACACTGTGACCTCAGAGGAGCCGCGTGAATGTGTGTGTGTGTGTGTGTGTGTGCCCTCTTTGCCCAGGCATGTGCTGACTCACTAGTAAATACTGCTGCCTTATCCTTCAGAAAAGCTACAACAATGAGCTCAAAATGAAGGCGAGCGAAGAGGAAACGTGTGTATGAATCACATGTGAGTGATACACAGGCCCTGTTGAACACTGTTGCTGTTGTGGGCTCGTCTTTGTCTGCGATGGCCATGACATCACACAGGCCCCCTTAAAATGGGCCACGGACAAGTTAGGATATGAAATGATGACAATATCTTTGTTGTTTTTTTTGTTAGAGATTCGTTTGTATGTTCTACAGGAAGTTTACCAACCATTTAGTCCATAAGTGAAGATAAATGAAACTTCTTATAGTTATTATGCTATTTTAAAGGCTCCTAATTTTGTTTTGCAGGTCTCCTACAATAGGTTTATATGCATCAAAGGCCAAAAAACCCGTTCATTTTCTCATAATGTATTTTGCAGCATCAGCTCTTTTCTCACGGTGTCTGAAACGGTTCGATAAATGATTCGGTCTCTCTAAACCCCTCCTTTCCGTAAGCCTTCTCTTCTCTGATTGGTCAAATAGCCCAGTCTGTTGTGATTGGTCTACTCTGCTCTGATTGGTCAGATGGCCCAGTCTGTTGTGATTGGTCTACTCTGCTCTGATTGGTCAGATGGCCCAGTCTGTTGTGATTGGTCTACTCTGCTCTGATTGGTCAGATGGCCCAGTCTGCTGTGATTTTTCCATATCAGTTCCAGCACGATTCCTCATCCTTTTGAAGTGCATGCAAAGTGGATTCGCAGCGACTTCTCGACATGAACAACACAAAACAAACTGTTTGAGGGTCAAAGTAATAAGTTGACGTTGTTCGCGAGCAGCCAATAAAGGCCATAGGCTGACATTATGAACATTTGTACAAACCTTAAAAATGGCTAAAAGGTTGTTGTTTACTGGGTCTGGCAACACCCTAAATACATACTAAGAACCAGATGCTCATGTGAGCCAATAATGGCAATAAATGCCTAGACTTGAGATAGCCTACTGATTGTAAATGCTCTCAGATTGCATGTCCATTACAGCTAACCGCTTCAGTGGCTTCATCTCTCAGAGGAGTGTTGGTTAATGACGCGCAGAGAATCATTAGTTTGATCCATGTGAATTAGTAGAAATAAAATAATTGTTCCTCTAAGTGCATAATTAATTGGCAACAAGCAGAACATGCTTATTAACACATGAAATGATGTGAATGATGATGCATTTGGTGTCAGAAGACGATGCACGTGTGTTTTCTGGCCGTATAAGCAGTGTGTGTTTATTTGAGCGTCGTCTAGGTTAACAGGTTTCAGCGTTCACATTGTGCATGTAAGCCTTCTTCATGTGTCTGTAGTTGTTCCTGCTTGAGATATCCGAGCCCCACACTGCTCTTTAGTGCTGACTGAAGCTCACTGCATGTGGACCACTGGTACACTACACCACACACATATCATTCACTCAGTGTTTGGGAAGTGCAGATCCCCATTTTGTTTAAGTCTGAAGAAGTGATTATCGTTAAGGCTTATTAACAATAGCTTAGCTATAATGCTCAAATATACACAAACAACCTCCCAGATCTGAGCATGTATTGAGTGTATGTTTGCTAACTTGTGTGTTATCTAAATGAGTAGAGTGTGGATTCAAGATTGCATTGAGTTTTTAATGCATCACTAAAATATATCATATATAAGGCCACTTTTCAGTCTGTAAAATGTCTCAATAATATCTTTGCATTCTGAATATATTATGTACAGTATAGGGATTTTTCTCAGCAAATAGTGATGCATGCAATTATTTGCATCTACTTATTGGTAATGGTATATTATGAAGTAAATTTGATTTTAAAATGTAATCATTTGATATTGCAGAGCATCATGATTGAATTTAATAATCTCTGTGAAATTGGTTTCCTCTTGGTTTTCTGTCTCATTGAAATACTGGTGCTTCTGGTTATGTAATACTATTATGATTATGCACTTAGAAAAGTAATAGCACACGCATAATTAAAGGTATACTTCCCTCTGAAGTTGAATACTTAGTGAAATTAATATGAGCAATAGTATTAGGGATGCTGGATTGCTAACACTGTTACTAATCAACAATATGTTAGTTGTCTGTCTTTTGCTGGAGCAAAAGCGAAACGCTTCTAAATATATTGGTTTTTATATACATTTCTCATAAAAAAATGTGCTTGTTGAATGAGACATTCACAATATTGCACCATTCAGAGAAAGAAGACGTTAGTGTCTTTGCACTGCGTGAAAATCCATGTGCAATGATTGGTCAAACCCGCTGAGTTTGTGAAGATTATTGATTTCCTAGACACTTCAGTGATATTTCTCTTCCGCTGCTCCACCACTAAAACAGTCTTTTCTTTATCATCACTGCAGAAAAGAAGAAATCATTGGGCTACTTATAAAGTGAACTGACTGTTGTATCTATAGCTTCTGAACAGCCAACCTGCTGGATCCAGAGCACAGAGTGTGTGTGTGTGTGTGTGTGTGGGTGCGCGTATGTGCATGCTCGTGTGTGTGTGTGCATGCGTGTGTGTGTGTGTGCGTGCGTGCCTGTGTGTGTGTGTGTGTGTGTGTGTGTGTGAGATAAACTGCAGTCTGGTTCAACATTCTGTCGTGACTTCTTTATGAAAACATACATTAACCTCTTAAGTGAGATATAAATATTGGGATCAGCATGCCGACATGTTCCCCTCTCTCTCTCTCTCTCTCTCTCTCTCTATGTGTCTCTCTCTCTCTCTGTGTCTCTCTCTCTCTCTCTCTCTCTCTCTGTGTCTCTCTCTCTATCTCTCTCTCTATAGTCTTACTGTGGACATTATGCAGATGTGCTGTACATGAAATCCCCTCTGACCGGCTACATTTGCTGAAATGTGTAGTATGGATCCACTGCGTGACACACTGTATCCCACAATGCAGTTCACCCGACTTGACCTTCCATTTCCAGTGTGATGAATGAACTGGAAGTGATATCATTTTCACTCATTATTTGATTGAACTGCTAGTCATTTTTATACCAAAAATTCAATATCAAAATGCAATAAACCATGTATTTTTTAAGATGATAACACGGCACGCTACCATTCAAAACTTTGGGGTCAGTACGATTGTTTTTAAAGAAATTCATTCATTTATTCAGCGAGGGCGCATTAAATTGATCAAAGGTGACAGTAAAGACATTTTTAATGTTACAAAAGATTTAAAATAAATAGCATTTTTTAATTTTATCATGGTTTACACCCCAATGATCTTACACAAAACTGAGCAGATCAAACGGGGGTGTGAGAGACTCCTTCAGCACAGACTCTTTCTCCCGCATGAATAATTGAAGCGCAGCTGTAACGTTATTTAGCTTCAGTGCTGAGGATCGAGCAGGAGCCCGAGGCTTCGGTTCTGGAGACTTCTCTTCCTCTTCTGCGGTTTTAAAAATGAACGCACTAATTATCCGAACGCAGAGAGCGGCTTCTCCTGAGGGACGTTATTACTATAAACTATCAAAGAACCAACTTACCTGGTAATTGCAAATATTAGTCTTAATATCTATCTATCTATCTATCTATCTATCTATCTATCTATCTATCTATCTATCTATCTATCTATCTATCTATCTATCTATCTATCTATCTATCTATCTATCTATCCATCCATCCATCCATCCATCCATCCATCCATCCATCCATCCATCCATCCATCCATCCATCCATCCATCCATCCATCCATCCATCCATCCATCCATCCATCCATCCATCCATCCATCCATCTATCTATCTATCCCAATAACCTGCTAACCTTCCTTACCCATCCATCCATCCATCTATCCATCTATCTATCTATCTATCTATCTATCTATCTATCTAT